AATATTCATTAAGAACCGTACTCATTATGTAAAAACACATTATTGTGCGTCGCCGCTTTTAAAATAATCTATTAGGGTATAACTTAAAATATTTGAATATTTCTTAAGAATATTTTTGTTAATATAAAATGCATTAATTTCTATTAATTTTTAGGCTACTCTACCGTTTATTAACCAAGCCGGTGTTCTATTTATTATAATTTTTGCACAAACCAATACCTATACGACAAACATTATTCGAATATTATTTCACATTTCTTTACATTTTCTACCCGTATTTAACCCAATTATTTGTATTTTAACAAACACTCCATATCGAAATGCTGTTTTTAATCGTGCACAAATACATCCACAATAATTGAATAAAAAATATTTTTTTAATTCTTTAATGTTACTATTTTTATTTGATTGGGTGAAGTTTTTAATGATTTAAAATTGGTTTCGATCCGTCTATGAGAAGCGCTCCTGATATGTTTCAAATCCCCTGATATCCCTATTTACGTCCAAATCATTCCTTGATTAGTTAATTTCCTTTAAAAAGGAAATTAACCTTATTAACATTTACCGTACACCAAACAGTTCGATTATTAATACAAAAAATTATTAAAATTTCTTTTGAATCAAATTAACCAAAGAAATATATTGGAAAGATTTTAATATTAGACATATTAACTGGGATTCTAGAGAATTAACCGACAACTATGTCAAGATCGCGAATATGTTTCTAGAGTTTATAGGTCAGAATCAATTAAATCAACGTGTTACTTAACCAACAAGGGAAAATTCAATCCTACACCTAACACTTAGATCCGTTTCCGGTATAGTTCGAAATGTTACGTTAGGGAGAATTTTTCAACTTCCATTCACAAAATAATAGAGTTTGAGTTGTATGATCAAGTTGTATGATCTTCGGGTATGATGATCTTCGGGGAGAAAAAAGTGAAATTTTTGCCTTAAAAATACTCCAAAATATGACTAAAAATATCGATTTTTTCGTGCTTTTTTCGTGCAAAAATGTAGTCCACGAAACGAAAACGAAACGAAAATACTTTTTCAACGAAACACGAAACGAAAGAAAAACGAAAACAAATTTTCAAACGAAAACGAAACGAAAATACTTTTTCAACGAAACACGAAACGAAAGAAAAACGAAAACAAATTTTCAAACGAAAACGAAACGAAAACCATGAAAAATCCACGAAAATCACGAAAAACGAAACGAAACGAAAATTTTCGCCCATCTCTGGTACGAAGTTCACAGTGGAAGACAAACACGTATATCTAACAAAAGAACTAGTACATATTCATAACAAATACATACCGATGAACCCTAAATAACATAATAAGAAAATTATGCCCTAAAGGATTAATGAATTACATAGAGAAAAACTTAGATTATTCAGAGTCCTTAAAGAAAGAAAAAATGATCAGAATTATTTTCCAAAAAAAATCCATTAGTGAGATAGAGGCAGTTAATTCTTTCGCTTCAACAATCTTTTTAACATTTATTACAAAATGTTCTTTATTATTTTTAGTAATTTTCGCCACTGTATGTCATTAGACATAGAAAGAAAAGATTTTTAAAAAATAATAACGGATATGAGCTCAATTTATTAGGATTATTTCACAAAAAAAGGTAATAACTTTAAAATCAGATCCCTACTCTTAATAAACTCAATAGTCTTCTCCAATTAGAATTCAACATAAAATTAAAATCCCACGACATGTTTTTCAAATATTAAACAAAATTTTCTCAAAAATATTTTTTACATTTAAAGGGTGTGAGAACACTTTTCAACTTTTCAATAAGAAATTTTAAAGTAATTTTAACATTTAATTAGAAAAAAATTTAAAAAATCCCACGACTTGTTTGTGTTAAATTTTATAAAATATTGTCAACAATGATTTTGTATTTTAAAGTGAATATCTGAGACAATAATAATAAATATTAATTAATGTCAACATTAATTTTGCTATAAAGCTCTGAAAATATTGCTTATTAAAAAATTAACTTTATCTAAAAAATTTCTGTTTTGCCATTAAGTTAAGATTCCCGTCACTTTGAGAAAATTAACCTAGCAACAGAAAATCATATGATTTAGTTTTGTTTGATAATTTAATGAAAGTAAATAAAATTTTCTCAAAAATATTTTTTTACATTTAAAGGGCATGAGAACATTTTAAAAATTTTTAATAAGAAAGTTTTAAGGTAATTTTAGCATTTAATTAAAAGATAAAAAATAATTAAAACGCTAGTAAAGCTTAAAAAATGTCCTTTGATATACTTAATATTTTATTTAAATTAGATTATTTTGTTTGTTTATTAATTGGTTTTCCTTTAAATATTATTCTGATTATTTTAATTATTTTTAAAACACCAAAAGAAATGAAAACACACAGTCGAATTCTGATACAAAATTGTGTTTTGGATATTTTAATGTTGATTAATCAAATGTTTGTTCAAGTGGTAACGAATTTATACAAAATTCCAACTTTCTAAATCTCGAACTATTTACAATTTCCGATTGACTTACAGTATAGACTCTATAAATTACTCTGGGTGACTATTGTTTCGACCTCTCTATGGAGAGGGTAATTGATAGAGGTTAATTAGAAAGGCTAATTATAACTAGTTTTAAGGGGGTAATTCAGGGTTCTCATTCGTACTTTTTTAAAAGTATTGAACTTTTTAATCGACCTCCGTACTTAAGAAATTGAAGTTGTACTTTTTCGAAAGTATGTTTTTTTATCAACATTTTTGAAAAACGAAGAAATCTGGCTCAAGGACCTCCAAAATTCTAAAAATTTTCGCCTGGGCACAAAAAATGGAAGAAATCTGGCTTAAGGACCTCAAAATTCCCAAAATTTTCGCCTGCGGCGCTAAAAATCAAAATTTTTTGGCGCCTTCGGCACCAAAAATTCGGCGCAGAAAAATTTTTCCCCTTGGCCCCTCCCTCCGAAAAAAATTTCTAATTTAATTTGGAGTGTACTTTTTATTTGGAAATTTTGCCCCTATGTACTTTTTTATCAAGATTTTGATACTTTTGATTGGCATTTTGTCGATGAGAACCCTGGGGTAATTAATGTTTCAACCTTCGCTGGAGGGGGAAACTAATATAGGGGGTAATTATTTGAGGGAGGGTAATTAAGAGAGTATATACGTAACTCTATTTAAAATAATTTTTAATTATTTGAAGTTTTATATATCTGATACAGAAGGGAATTCAATTAATATTTTACCCTATGGAATTTTGCTTAGTTTAATGAAAGAAAATTTTAATCCGTTTATATCCTTTATTTATTTAAAATTTTCGAATTGCATTGCTTCTTTGAATTTTTTTGGATTGTGTGTTCAATTTATTTATAGATATTTAATTTTGAATAGGTAAATAAATAAAAGTAATCACTCCTCAAATAATTATTAGGAATATGAAAATTAATTTTCGTCGGTATTTATACATGTTATCAATTGCTCTATTGGTCTCAGTAATTTATAATTTGGATTTAGCTTTTTTAGTTAATCCATATTCTTTTGGAGGTATAAAACATTTTGATAATTTTAACAAAACATGGCCGTTTATTCAAGGCAAAATGGAGAATGTAATTTTTAAGTTTTATTTGTATTCTAAAAACATTAAGTACCGTAAATGCGCTAATAGAACCACACTCCCTATTTGAAGCATAACCCCTAATATAAGCACACCCTACGTGGGGATCGAAAAATAGAAGACATGTGGTTCTAATGGGTTGTCAGATAAATAATACCCTCTGCGCATAAATAAAACAATTTACTATAACTAAATAATGAAATGAAATTAAGAAACAATATAATGCCCATTATTATCTCTCACATCTTGCCACTTGCTGGGCGGTTTTTTAATTCCCCTTTGATAAAATCTAGTGGCAGTTTTGGTTTCAAGAAGTTAGGCAACCCAATTTGGGAGTTGAGCATCATTTTGGAACCTCACATCTCGGAAATTTTTATCGAAAGGAATAAGTGGTAATCAGACGGCGCAATATTCGTAGAATAAGGCTAACCATCCGCCAACATTATTCCCCGGACGCCTTCACAGCTTTTGGATTAGTTACGGACTCATCTTCTCGAACCGAACCGGAGCATACCCTTACAAGTACATTTTTAGATAAGTGTTTGTTCACAATTATTTCTGGCTATATTTCAAACAGTCCCTTATTTAATTATATTTGTCTGTGGATTCAAAATGGTCAGATATGTCAATCTAAACACTAATATTGATGGAAATTTAAAAAAATTGAATAAACTTTTAACTAAAGTTTTGATTCTTTTGGTAAGATTTTGAGGTCAGCTTTTTAATAATTAAATTTTTAGGCTGTCGTTCCATTTGTTAGCCAAGCAGGACTTATAATTCTTATAAGTTTTTTGTCAACAAACAATGATTCAGCAAACATTATTCGAATTTTAATCTATATTTACTTTCATTTTACACCTGTATTTAACCCAATTATTTGTATTTTAACAAACACACCATATCGAAATGCTATCTTTAATCGTGCACAAGTAAATCCTCAATAATTGAATAAATCTTATCTATCGTATTTCTCCTAATAAAATGGCCACCAGGGTGCTGTAAATCTCCGGTTGGGGTCATATCTGTCCGCAAAAGTCGCTGGGTTTTGGATCACTAACATAAACCCATTCCTATCTTCTTGCACATGACATATTTGGGGTCTCAGTAGAAACAAAAACCACCACGGAGGCCATATGTAAGGAGCTAAAACAAACGATCATAACTTTGTCAAATCAAGTTTCGTTGATTTTGGTGTCATTCGACTCATTTCGAGGAGCTCCTTCGAAAAGTAGCGAGTGGACGAATCGAATGAGATATGTCAATTTTTACCCGCGGTACACTAGACTACAGCCGATCCTTACATTATCCACAAAAAATATAATGATAAGGTTAAATTTTTTTCAGAATCACTCTCAATTATTTTAAAAAATAATAATATACTTATAAAAATTATCAAGTTTTAATTTTCATCTGAAAAATTTTCCTCAAATCTTCATAATCTTTTAAGTTATTATTTTCCTCTTCCCTTTTGTCATGCCAAATTCTTTTAATATTTGTTTGTTCATTTTCTTCACCAGCTAATTGTATTATAAACTCAACATAACGTTTATGTATCCAGCTATGACAATTTGAAAACATAATCCAGTAAATTCCTGGTTGAGTACATTCTACACTATCCCACTAAATTAATTCATTAAATAATTTTAGACGTATGCTTTATTATAAAATACATTCAATACTTCATAGATATACCTATATTTAATAGACTTTGAATCCCTGTGAACAGAGGTCGGTCGGAATTCCGATTTCCGATGTTTTTTCCTTCCGATTTCCGACTTTTGAGCCATTTCCGATTTTCGACAGTTCTGAAACTTCGTCATTTCCGACGACCCCTGCTGTGAAGCGAGCTGCCCAAATTGCCTCATTTCAAGAGGCAAATTTAAAATAACCTCATTTCAAGATTAATTTTAAAATGCATTATTGAGTTTAGAGATAATGCAGAGATCGAAATAAATTTAAAAATCGAATTTGGAATGACTACTTCGATTTCGAAAATTATTTTATTTTACAAAAAATATCTATTGAAATATCTATCTATTTGAAATTTTCATTATAATTTTAAAATATGTACCTCATGGTGTATTTTAGCAGTTAATTTAAACCACATATAGACCCATTCCATATTATTTTCAAAATATTCGATAGAAGGACGGGTACCCGCTGTAGGTATAGTTATTCCATTGTGATGACCATTTAGATACTTTCCTGATCAATTAAAATTATTTGCAAAATTTTGTAAGGGATTTTAAGTTATAAAATTTATAGAATTTCTGACATATCGGAATAAAATGATTATTTTTCTGAGATATATTTTATTAATTTAAAATATAATAAAATGTCAAGTACTACTTAAGATAAGCCGTAAATGCCCTGATAGAAGCACATGTGCTTGTAGTGTGTGCTTCCCCTCGTAGGGAGTGCTTATATTAGAGATGGGCTTCTATTAGAGAACTTCTTTTATCAGCTCACTTACGTTATTTCTAAAACTCTAAAAAATTATTTTCTCACCATTCTGCTTATTTTCCTTCCTTTCATTCCTCAATGGCTCGAAAAACACCCCAAATTGAATTATTCCATCTGTTCGGAAATACCAACTTAAAAAATGTTTTTTCGCAGCGTTTGGGTCTATTTGGATTTTTAAAAATTTATATTTCCTCGGTCCAATAGATAAATGTTCCAAATGATTGAGCACTCTTGGTTCTATAGGTTGCCAACTTTGAGTAGAGTGTTGCATTGGTACACAATATATTGACTGGAAATTGTAAAAATATTTTCGGCGTCCTACAGGGCCAGTACAATAAAATAAAGAGGTACACCCCAATATACCGCGATCCCAACTTACCGCAGAGCTACATATAACTTCGTTCAGAATTGTCGAATCCGTGACGCCCTGGTATGGTTCGATTCAGCTCGTCGAGGCGCAGCGAAACATACCAGGATGTCCCAGATTCGTAATTCTTAACGAAGTTATAGCTATGCGGTACCTTGGGCTCGCGGTAAGTTGGCCTGCTCCCAAATTGAAGGTGTAAGGGTATTTAACCCCGATCTACGCCAATCCCTCCATAAATCAAAAAGAAGAGATACTTAGGATCAAGTCGCCCGAGTAACCTAATTTTTAAATTTATTGCACGGGCTGTGATCTTGAACTTTATTTATCCACTATCCACTACAAACTCCTGCCTGCTCCACCCAGCTAAACCCACGATTTACCATATTTAAATATCCCTTATCTTCACTATTCAAATCCTTCAGATATCCCGCCTTGGGTCAATATCGAAGGGTGGGATAAGTTAGAGGTTTAGCTCAGAACATCAAATAATAATTTTCTCGCCTGATTTTGCCCTCCAAGTGAATGTGGAATATAATCCAAATTAATTTCCATACAAAGATTTTCCAAAAAATTAGCATCGTGTAATCTAAAACGATCAACAAACCCAACAGGCATCATAGATTTAATTAAACGATAGGGAATATATATCCATTTGGCAATATTTACCTTTTTTGAACTATTTTTTAATTCAAATTTTAATTCAAACCATTTCAATTGGATAAACCAAATCGGGATAGTTATCATAATGGAGAAGTTGGGAATAATAGGAGAGAGTACCAGAACTGACAAAAAGCATTGTAAATGGATTAATCTCTGGAAATAATTTTTAGTTTGATTGGAAATTCTGATTTTTTTTAGAAATTCTGATTTGTGAAAATTCTGATTTTTTAAAAATTCTGATTTTTTTGAAAATTCTGATTTGGCAATTCTGATTTTTAAAAATTCTGATTAGGAAATTCTGATTTTTTGAAAATTCTGATTTTTGAAAATTCTGATTTTTTTAAAAATTCTGATTTTTTTGAAAATTCTGATTTTTTAAAAATTCTGATTTTTTTGAAAATTCTGATCTTTGAAAATTCTGATTTTTTTGAAAATTCTGATCTTTGAAAATTCTGATTTTTTAAAAATTCTGATTTTTTTGAAAATTCTGATCTTTGAAAATTCTGATTTTTTAAAAATTCTGATTTTTTTGAAAATTCTGATCTTTGAAAATTCTGATTTTTTTTTGAAAATTCTGATTTCTGAAAATTCTGATTTTATTGAAAATTCGGATTCTTCATACGTTTCCGTTTTTTCCAGAATTAAATTCTGAATTTTATGGAAATGCTCATTTTTCATTTCCAGAATTTTCTATATTAAAAATAAAATTCAAGACTACCATAACCAGTCATATCAATAACATGACGTATCGAGCTTAATCGACCAGTTAATTCTTCTTGTCTATTAACTAGTTTCAACATATGTTCAAATTGCCAAAATTGGAATTTAATAGATTCTGAACTTCTTATTCCATTTGCTATTGCCTTTCGAAAAAAAATATTTTTTGAAAGAATTTTTAGAAAAACCTCAACATTTAAGGATTTATATTCTACAAACCAAAGTAGTCTATTAGAAGAATCTGTGGCATTTTCTAAAATTGGACTCATTGGCATTAGGCGTTCAATAAATATTGGATTTTTTTCAAAAGGAATATCGGGTAGTTCATCCTGCAAAACTTTTTTTGTAAAATTTTCTATTGCCGGATTTTTTTAATAATTTATTTATTTAAATCTTAGTTTTATTTTTTTTACAATTAAATTACATTAATTTTAGATTTTTTATCTTGACCTTTAGGCAGGGTTGCATGAGGTCGAAGCCTCGCCGAAATTCTCGCCCATTTTCCAATATTGGTCTTGGATCGACCGGTCACGGGTCTCGGGATATCGGTCTCGATCCTCGCCAAGAACCTCGTCGAGGATCGAGGCTAAATATACACTCCTAATTGCTTTTTGTGCAAGAAATGGAAAAAATAAGAACACTTGCCTTCCGAAAAGGCAAGAGGCAGACCTCGTGCAACTTTACATTTAGGTGGCTCAAAAAGGAAAGATAGGGGCTGTTGGCAATTATTGTTGCTTCAACACCACGTGAAATACCGTCAACTTTAACGAGAGTTGACGGTATTTCGTATAATTTTAATTTTAAACTATCAAAAATAAATTTAAATAAAAGAAATAATCACCAAATCAAAACACTTTCTAACACGTAAATGCATCGAAAGTGCTTTAGCTGCATTTTCAACAATTTCCATTTTTGTTTTAAAATTTCTTTCTGCATTAGCCACAAAACGATAAATATTAAAGTCTGTGTTATACTTTAAAAGGAAATTTTGAGATTTTTAGTTTTGAAAATTTACATTTGGATTTATTGGATAAGTTAATTTTTGACGTACTTGCTGAATTAAATTTATAGATTCTTTGCTAAGAGGCTCTCTAAATTAATTTAAAAAAATTTTAAATAACGAAAAATGAAAATAATTTAATTTAAAAATCTTTATTTTCTAATCAAATAACACAAAAAAAAATTTTTATTTTTTAGTTTGCTTCATAGTGAGAGAAAATATTCAACGATCATGCATCCTCTGAGCAGTTATTGATAGACTCTCTCGCTCAAGAGTGATCTTACAATTACTCCCCGACTAAAGAGATTATTACTTTCTCTTTTAATATACCTATCTTAATCTCCCGCCTGGTGATTTTTAACTGATAGTTAATTTAGATTTCAATTTTCCCCAAATTTAAAATATTATTAAAATTATTTTAAATATAGGGCTTATTTTGAATAAGTATTATGTATTTTCTCTTTTAATTTATCTTAATCTTCATCCTAGCGCGTTTTAAATGACAATTAGCTATGAACTCTAATCTTCCTTAATTTTCAAATATTATTAAAATTATTTTAAATATAGGGTCTTATTTAGAATAATTAGTAAATTAACTTTTTTAATTAAACAAAAAATTACCCAAATTGTGTTGAATTAAGTTTACAATGCATTTAAATAAAATACATACAATTTAATGTAATAAATAAATTTAATTAATTTATATAAACTTTTCTTTTTAAAAACAGGCTACAAAATAAAAAATAATACGTCGTTAAATTGCGTAAATATTAAACTATTACAACTAACTTTTTTAAAGAAAAATAAAAAAATAAATATGTATAAAATTTATTTTGATGAGAAAGAATATCGGTACATATAATCTATTCATTTAATCTTTATCTCAGCGAAAAAATATTTAAATATAGATGACGTCATTAGATCATGAAAAAGTTGTAAAGAATATAGGGAAGGATTTGGAGGTATCCTTTATGGAAAATAATAAGGATCGGTTGAGAATCAAGGTCTCTATAAACGAGATTCTCTCTCTTGTGACGATTCAAATTTCTGAATCGACCTCGTTCCAAACTCCGTACCTCGCATTGATACGAGTACGAGGAATTATACTAGAAATGTTAAGAAGTACGAGTATGACAAGATCAAAATCTTCACAGTAATCAGAAATGGGTCGGAACAGTCAGAGGAGTCAAAAATCGGAAAAGCCGAAAATCGGAATTGGCTTAAAAGTCGGAACTCGGAAATGGAAATCAATTTTTTCTTTCGGAAATCGGAAATTGGAAGGAAAAATCTGTCAGTAATGCACTTTAGGTAGAAATAGGATCATAAGGATTTACAAAGGTCCTGCAAGGAAATAAGAAAGGGTATTGAGATATGGAATTAGGAAACTTGAGGGCCCTCGTATTAATGAATTATTTAAAAATTGTAATCGTGTATTTTTCTATAATCAAGGAAAAATATTTAATTTAATTGATACCTAATTTCTAGAGTCCGACATTTTAGGCCCGAAAAATTGTGAAATAGGTTCCTATTTTAGGTTTTTTGAGGTAGCAAAATAGGTTCAAAAAAATCAGAAAAAGGCCAAAATAGGTCCAAATTTTGAAAAATAGGTCCGAATTTTTGAGTTACTTTTAGTGTTAAAAAATAAAATTTTTGGAAAAAAATTTTATTTGGAATAATATGTAGTTTATCTATCTACAGTTTATCTACATATTATTCCAAATAAAATTTTTTTCCAAAAATTTTATTTTTTAACACTAAAAGGAAGTAAATTTTTATCGGAGTAAAATGACAACATCGAATTCTGTTAAATTCAAGGTGACACTTTCATGAACATTAAAATCTGGTTTTGAAACTTATCGCAATAGATTTCACATTAAGGGTTGCCGTTATTCGAATCGGGCTGACGGTCGAGGCATTTTTTTCAAATAACTTAGGCCCGACTCGATCTTTCGGTCCGAATCGGGCCATTTTGGCAACCCTATTCACATATGAAGATCACTCAAACAATGGGAATTTTTGGCGCCGCAGGCGAAAATTTTAAGAATTTTAGATACATTTTGCGGAAAAATTCACCTTTTTGATAATTCCCCTACTAAATTTTTTTATTTTCCGATATTTCATGGGGAAAAGTTGAATAATTTACTAAAAATAATCAAATTTTTAGAAAAATCTTCAAAAAACCTAAAATAGGCCCAAAAAAGGTCAAAATAGGTTCAAATAGGTTTTAGGTCCAAAAAAGCCGAAATAGGTTTTTTAGGCTTAAATAGGTCCAATGTAGGAGCATGGTACCGTGCCAAATAAGTGTTTTTTGAGCTTTACTCAACATTACAAGGTTGCAAAAAAAATAGGTCGGAACCTAAAATGTCGGACTCTACTAATTTCTATATAATAAAAAATATTTTAAATTTTTAATGAAAAAATACCCCCTCCCTTCCCGCCTCCCAAACAATTAAAAAAAGAAAGCGGCATTATATATAAAATTAAAACCAGTTTAATATGAGAAAATATTTATTTATTTAAAAGCAACAGAAATTAAAAACGGAAAAGACCGCGCGTGTTTTTCGCTGACAAAAAAGTGTGTCAATAAAAATAAAAAAAATTTTAAATTTGTGTTAATAATTATTTTGAAAATAAAATAGAGAAACTTGAAATTAATTAATAATTAAAATAAAAATAGTTTTTTAATTCAAAAAGTTTTCAATTCAAAAGTTTTACCTACTAATTTTTTAATTCAATTAATATTTATGTAGGTCAGTCAATTTATTTATTAGCTCAATATTTAAAATTTTTATGAATAAAGGGCATCAGGGAGTTGTCTACTATGCACCTACAGAAGTGTAATGATTATTCAAGATAGCTTACGATTTTTTCATTAACGGGGGGGGGGGGTGTAAAAATTAAGTATGATCCGACTGTATATTCATTAGGTTCTATGATAAATACTCGTGAAACAAATAAGTATTTTTATGGGATTTACAAACAAATTTAAAAAAATAAAGAAAATAAAATCTGAAATAAAATTTTAAAAACTTATGAATAAATGAGGAATCGAAAGAGACAACACTAATTGGTAGTAGAAAAATTCGAGAGCTACATACAGGGTGGGGCAAAAGTTCGGCGACAAATTTTATTTTGTCCTATCTTAAAATTTACTTTATATTTTGCTTTTTGTTTAGATTTCCCATATTCTATGATTCGCGCTCTACAAATTTTATCTTGAAAATTTTTTCCTATCTCATAAAGTAAAAATTTTACTGAATGTTAATCTCAATAAAAATTTTTTTTGCCCCACCCTGTATATGAAAATAATTTTTTAAATGAAAATAAAATAAAAATTTGTTAAAACTAAATTTATTTATTTATAAACGCGCAACTAAAAATTCTTTTTGGATGAATGATTTCAATCTCCCATGTGAATACACAAGCGGATTTTCGGTCTTTTACATTTGAAAATTATATTGCGATGTTTGATGTTTATGTATAAATTTATTTTAGATTAATAATTAAAAAATGTTATTGAAAATACTGGCGAGAGACAGCCACGATTGAGGATTTTAAGTTTTACACATATCAGTAAGGTCTGATCGTTCATAAATGGCGGGTTTTTATATCGATCATTATGGAATCAATCAGTTAAAAACGGAAGCTCGATATACCTCTGTTTGAATGAGAGAGAGATTTTAGCTTAAATAAGAGAAGTTCAGGCTTGACTGAAAGTATGTTTCTTGCATTGGATAATAAGGAGTTTTGGTTTTGATAAGAGAAGAGTTTGCTTGATTGAGAGATGTTTGACTTGAATGAAAGAGTTCCGTCAATGGGTACGTGAAGAAAAGTTTCAATATGAATGAGAGAAGTTATTTAAGAGGAGAGATGACAACGGGCAAGAGATCTATTATCCTTCCCGAACATTCCCAGATATGTAAACAACTTTTATCTCACAATTCTTTCAAAAAATTTCAATCGCTATTCACAACTTTCCCAAAACGTTCAATTTGTGTTTCACATTTTTCCCCTCCCACTTTCCTCAATAATTAAAAACTTTAATAAATTTTTATTAAAAATATTTTTTGTATTTTAGCGTGAAATTTTTAAACTTTTCCAATAAAACCTTTTAAAACCACTATTTTAAAAAATCTTTTGAAACATAAAGTTTTAATTAACTTTTTATTTTTTAAAAAATGTCCATGGATATACTTGATATTTTATTTAAATTAGATTATTTTGTTTGTTTATTAATTGGTTTTCCTTTAAATATTATTCTGATTATTTTAATTATTTTTAAAACACCAAAAGAAATGAAAACACACAGTCGAATTCTGATACAAAATTGTGTTTTGGATATTTTAATGTTGACCGCCAATATATTTGTTCAAGAGGTATTTACATTATTCAAAATATCATAGAAATAAAGCCTAAATTAAATATAATATGCTGTGTAATTTTTTCAATTTTCCTCTAATATAATATTACCTTCTTAGTACCATTAAATTAGAATATACAGAAAATTAATTTAAATTCAATTTTATATTTATTTTTAGTTTTGTATACTTGATACAGAAGAGAATTTAATTGTGATATTTCCCTATGGAATTTTGTTTAGTTTAATGAAGGAAGATTTTAATCCAATAATATGTAATATTGTTATAGCTTTTTGGAACTATATTAATAATTCTAATACACATGGATTGTGTGTTCAGTTTATCTATAGATATTTGGTTTTGAATAGGTAAAGAATAAAAATAATCTCTCCCTTAGATAAATACTATTAGGAATATGAAAATTAATTTTCGTCGTTATTTATTTATGTTCTCAGTTGTTTTATTTATATCCTTATTTTATGATTTGGATACACTCTTTTCTTATCAATATTCGTTTGGAGGTATTAAGTATTTTGAAAATTTAAACAAGACATTGCCGTTTATTCAATATAAAATGGAAACGGTAATTTTGTTTTTTAAATTAAAACAAAAAATATATGTAATGGGTTGTCAGATAAATAATGAGCCCTTTGCGCATTTTTAGTCTTTTTTTATGTAAAGGTATTCGAATTTTAGTTAGAATTATTTTAAATTTACTAGAGTCGATAGTTCCAGCATTTTTCTACTAGCCAGAACCATTGCTCAACTCTAAAATTGGGTTGCCAACTTTCTTAATACCAAATCTGCCACTAAATTTTATCAAATGGGAATTCAAAAACTGCCAAGCAAGAGGCAAGAAGTGATAGATAATAATGGACATTAAATTATTTTTTGATTTCATTTCATTATTTAGTTATAGTACATTGTATAATTTATGCGCAAAGGGCTCATTATTTATCTGACAACCCATTAGATGAATGGGTTGTCTGTTTTACCTATGATTATTACTGAACTATCTGCTTATTTAATAATAATTATTTGTGGATTCAAAATGGTTAGATATGTCAATTTAAACACTAATTTTGATGGAGATTTAAAGAGATTGAATAAACTCTTGACAAAAGTTTTGATTCTTTTGGTATAATTTATTGTTAGTTATGGGCAGTTTAAGATTGGCAAAACTACGGTTTCTCACAATTTTTAGATAATTTTTCCGATTGAAGCATTTGTCCAAAATTCTAAAAAAATTTTTGATTATTAGGAGGAATATTTTGAGAGGGTATCAGATAATAACGGGTATTTCTTAATCCCTCAAATATCGGTTCCGGTCCAGGATATCTGAAATTCCCAGGAACCACAGTCGATACTATACTCCTAGCTCTAATAATTAAACGCAATAATGTAATATAGTTTTAATTAAATTATAGGCAGTCGTACCATTTGTTAATCAAGCTGGCCTTCTATTTCTTATGATTAGTTCAAAAACAACAAATAATGCAACAAACATTATCCGAATATTAATTTTTATCTCTCTTCATTTTATACCCGTATTTAACCCAATTATTTGTATTTTAACAAACACTCCATATCGAAATGCTGTTTTAAATCGTGCACAAATACATCCACAATAATTGAATAAAAATTTACTCATTTCTTGTCATGTTTTGATCTAAAAGCTATTCTTTGTCGTTAATTTTAGAGCGAAGTGTCTCAATAAATTAATCAAAAAACTCGAGTCTCTTCGTCAATGTCTCACAAGCAGAGGTCGATCGGAAATGACGAAGGTGCCGGAAATCGCAACTGTCGGAAATCGGAAATGGCTCAAAACTCGGAAATCAGCCTTAATTTTCGGAAATCGGAACTAGGAATTCCGATCAACCTCTGCTCACAAGAGGCTATCTATAGATCTCAAACAGGATCTATTAACCGCAGCCTTTTTCAATAATTTAGTAAAAGTGCATATGTACTTTATAACTTTTTTTTGAAATCATAATAATTTTCTCAGTGAAAATTTAATTAAGCATAAATAAATATCTCATGATATGTTTATGTAAAAAGTTTTTAATGTAAATGTAAAATAAATTTCTCACAAATATTTTTTGTATTTATAAAATAAGCAACGTAAATATTTTCAAGATTTTCAATAAAAAACCTTAGATTAATTTTAAAATTATTATGTTAAGCAGAAAAGGGGGTCATTAAATGAAACTATTAAAGACTATTATTTGAGGGTAGGGGGACTAGAATTTTCATTGGAATGCGTTTGGCAATTATGGAAATTAAAATGATTTTAGCTAGATTCTATGTCCATTTAAATTGGAGAAATGTTATAAGTAGGAGGCGGATTTTTATTGAAATAAATTCACCAAATATGACCATAAACTTTGAAATGAATTGGCAAAATATTGACAAAAACTGCCAAAAATTAGTGAAATATTGAAATGTAAAATCCTACAAAGGATTTTAATAAAAGAGGAGGGAAATCACATTAAATTTTATAAATCAAAAAATTAATTAAATTCTTTAACAAGCTTATATATAAAATCTTTAAATCTTCAATTTCATCATCGACATCTCCGCCAAGAAATTCTCTCATCTCTCCATATTCTCAGTAGTTGTTTTGGCTCTAAATTAATTTTAATATTTTTACTAATAAATTCTTTTATAATTTTTTGTGCATTTTTAAATATCTCTTGTAAGCTTTTATAAGCAAGCAAAATTTAACAAAACATTAAAAGTCACACGAAATGTTTTTCAAATTTATTAAACAAAATTTTCTCAAAAATATTTTTTGTATTTAGAAATTATTAATGTGAAACTTTTTGATAAAATTCATGCCTGGTTTTAAATATACTTTGTTTAATTAATTAATTAGGTCCTCTGCGCCTTCCCACTCAACTCCCAATTCCACCCAACCGGCGTATTGAAGGTGCGTCAGACTGAAAGGTCTGATCCGCATTACTGTGGTTTAAAAGTTTAATAATCTCAATAAAATGAAATAAATTTTTATTAAAAATTTATTTTTTTTTTTGTATTTTGGCGTGAAATTTTTAACTTTTTCATAAAACCTTTTAAAACTAATATTGAAAATAAATTTTTTGAAATATAAAGTTTTAATTAATTTTTTTATTTCTTAAAAAATGTCCTTGGATATACTTGATATTTTATTTAAATTAGATTATTTTGTTTGTTTATTAATTGGTTTTCCTTTAAATATTCTTCTGATTATTTTAATTATTTTTAAAACACCAGAAGAAATGAAAACACACAGTCGAATTCTGATACAAAATTGTGTTTTGGATATTTTGACGTTGATTTGCCAATTGTTTATTCAAGGGGTATTTAAAATATAATTAAAAATATAAATCGAAAAATAAGCCTAAATTAAATATAATATACTGCGTAATTTTTTCAATTTTCCTCTAATATCATATTACCTTCCTACCATTAAATTAAAATAGACTGAAAATTAATTTCAATTTAATTTTGTATTTATTTATTTATAGTTTGGTATACTTGATACAGAAGGGAATTCAATTATAATTATTCCTAATGGGATTTTGCTTAGTTTAATGAAGAAAGATTTTAATCCATTCATATGTTATATAGTCTTAGCTTTTTGGACTTATATTTGTAATTATAATACGCATGGATTGTGTGTTCAGTTTATCTATAGATATTTGGTTTTGAATAGGTAAATGTGTAAAAATCTCACTTAAAATATTTTATTAGGAATATGAAAATTAATTTTCGTCGTTATTTATTTATGCTGTCAATTGCTTTATTTATATGCTTATTTTATATATTGGATTTAATTTTCTTTTTTATGCCCTATTCGTTTGGAGGTATAAAATATTTTGAAAATTTAAACAAAACATTGCCGTTTATTCAATGTAAAATGGAAACGGTAATTTTGTTATTTAAATTAAAACAAAAAATATATGTAGATGAATGGGTTGTCAATTTTGCCTATAATACTTACTGAACTATCTGCTTATTTAATAATAATTATTTGTGGATTCAAAATGGTTAGATATGTCAATTTAAACAATAATTTTGATGGAAATTTAAAAAGATTGAATAAACTTTTAACAAAAGTTTTGATTCTTTTGGTAAGAATATTTTTGGACTATAGTATAGTAAAGGGTGCGTAAAAAGTTCCCGGAATTAATCAAACCGGATTTATTTTCTCTTATATCAAAATAAAAATAAGTTTACACATATAAAACGTTTATAAGAATCTTGTAAATAAATGTCATAACAAATTTTCAAAATGAGATCCGGCCGCTGAGATACACGCATCCAAACGCTTCCGAAAAATTCCTTCTATGATCGCGCAACTCTCTTCTGTTATTGATGCCTAGGAATATTCTAATACCGTCCTAAATGCCTCTGTTGATGTGTATCGTGTTCAGGGGAGTCTCTTCTCCAACATAGACCAGACCGAAAATCCATTTTATATTCAATTTTAGGCTTTTCTGCCATTTATCAATCAAGCTGAAGGCTTATTTATTATGATTTATTCAAAAGCAAATAGCTATACAACAAACATTATTCGAATATTAATTTACATTTCTTTTCATTTTACACCTGTATTTAACCCAATTATTTGTATTTTAACAAACACACCATATCGAAATGCTGTTTTTAATCGCGCACAAATACATCCACAATAATTAAAAATTTTATTTTTAATTTTTATATAAATATTTTTAAAATAAAACTTTCGAAAATTTTTATTAATAATAAATTTAAAATGTTGGTTATGTTAGTTATGTGTGATCGAGTACCAGGCCCGGGTCGGAAAACCCGGCCCGGGTCGGATTAGAAGAAAACCCGGAATACCGGGCTCCGCAAATTGATAATGTCGAACTCTACTTATTTGTAAATACGTACTTACAAGTAGACTCTTTTTTAGCGTACTTATATTTTGAAAATTTCTCCTTGTGTACTTCCAAATTGAACTTTTTGTACTTACACTTAACATTCCCAGACGGCAGCCTTGCCTTATAGTATTAGCGAAGCCAGCAGAAAGCTATATTCTTATTTTTAAGTTTGTCAATTTATTTTCTCGTTTAATATTTAACAGACAATTAATATACCTCGATAAATATTAAAATAAACAAAATTTTCTCAGAGAAATTATTTGTATGTAAAAATTACTAGCGTGAAATTATATAGAAAAAAAAATATTAAAATCTTAAATGCTTTTATCTTAAGGAATTACTTAAAATTAAAAATATTAAAAATGTCTTTCAATTTACTTGATGTAAAATATTCGCTCTTCTTGAGGAAACTATTTCACCTTTCTTTTCTTTAACAAAAAAAAATATCTCAGAATTAATTATTCCCTCAGAATAAATAAATAAACACAAAAAATATAACTAAAATCTTCATCTATAAAAATCACACAGATATAAGGAAATGAATCGTTACACAGAATATTAAATGATTCGAAGAACATGAACATTGAAAAAGTGAAATTTCTGCCTTTCTTTTATGGGCAAAAATATTTAAAATAAAAATAATGCAATATAAAGTAGATTGTAAAATTTGTACAAAAAATTGTCAAAAATGGAAAGTGATTCACTGAGTTACCGTACAAAAATAAATAAAATTCATCAAAAATATAAAATTATGAAAATTATATAAAATCTTTAAATCCTCAATTTCATCATCGAAATTCCCCGTCAAGAACTTCTCTCATCTCTCGATATTCTTAGTAGTTGTATTGAATCAGAGACCATTTTTGAGTGGAAACTTTTCATTAATTTTATTAATATGTTTACCAATAAATTCTTTTAAATTCATTTGTGCTTTTTTAAATATCTCTTGTAAGCTTTTATGTATAAGCGAGCAAAATTTAACAAAACATTAAAAATCTCACGAAATGTTTTTCAAATTTATTAAACAAAATTTTCTCAAAAATATGCTTTTGTATTTAGAAATTATTAACATGAAACTTTTTAATAAAATTCATGCCTGGTTTTAAATATAGTACTTTGTTTAATTAATTAATTAGGTCCTCTGCGCCTTCCCACTCAACTCCCAATTCCGCCCAACCGGCGCATTGAAGGTGCGTCAGACTGAAAGGTCTGATTCGCATTACTGTTGTTTAAAAAGTTAAAAACTAATAAATTGAAATATATTTTTCATTAAAAGTATTTTTTGTATTTTGGCGTGAAATTTTTAAACATTTCCAATAAAACTTTTAAAACCACTATTTAAAAAAAATTTTTTGAAACATAAAGTTTTAATTAACTTTTTATTTATTAAAAAATGTCCTTGGATATACTTGATATTTTATTTAAATTAGATTATTTTGTTTGTTTATTAATTGGTTTTCCTTTAAATATTATTTTGATTATTTTAATTATTTTTAAAACACCAGAAGCAATGAAAACACACAGTCGAATTCTGATACAAAATTGTGTTTTGGATATTTTAATGTTGATTTGTCAATTTTTTATTAAAGGGGTAATTAAATCAGAATAATTATACACAAAATTAATTTATAACGTTAAAAATCATAATTATCAACAAAATATTAAAAAATTGGAATTAATTGAAACAAAATTTGTTTCATATCAAACAATAAAAATTTCTTTCGTGAAATTAATAAAAAATAAAT